TGCTATCCTAATTTTAGTCTATATTAAACTTTTTTTCTTAAGTTTGTTTACGTTCCTAAATCAATTTAATTGATGGTAAAGCAATTAAAAGCATTAAGAATAAATTGAAATAAACAATTCAATTCCCATTAAAGATAAGTAAGAAAGAGATTAAAAATTCAGATTACATGTGAGTTCAATTACAATACTAACAATATAGTTTAGTTTATAATATCTAATAAAAACTTCATCCGAGAAAAATTAGTTATTAATCCAAGTAAAAAAAAATAAGAAAAATAGAAAAGTAGAGAGAGAAAAATAATAGTTGAAGCTTTGTCATCTTGATTCTCCCTCCAATTCTCTTGCTTTCTTGCTTTGTATTTTGCTTTTTTTCTCCAGAGAAATTATTGCTGCCTCTTCCTAAAAACCCTTAAAAAAAGCCCCTTAAATAGCCTTCAAAAGCCCTAACTTCTAAAATCTTGTAAGTTTTTTTTTTTTTTGGAAAATATGGTGAATGCTCGACTTTTAGTTTCCAGAGTTGTGGCTCTCAAGGGTTTTGCTCAATTTTGTTCTTCTGGTGCAGTACTTTTACTTCGACAAAGATTTTGACCACCTTCCGATCAGAACTGGGCAAAGTGGTAGACATCAAAGTTGTAGCCTTGCCCCTTATTTTTCTAATGGTTTAAAATCATATCATTTGAACTTCTGTGGTGGGAGATATGCTTGAAAAATCAAAATATATGCAAATAGAGCACCAATCTATTATACACTTTTTTCACCAATTGAAATTATTTTTTTTCTTACTCTAGCAAAAACATAAAAATAAATATAAATAACATTATTAACTTAAAATAAACATTAAACATAAATTAAAATAAATTAATAAATTAAGTAAAAATGCCTAAATCCTATCTTAAATTTAATCTAACTTAGACTAATTAGGTATTTAATTACCTCGTTAAATATATGTATTTGATGCACTCATCATACTAGAGTGAGATTGGATATCTAAGGGTCCACACCATCTTCGTCTTGTAGGTTGGTGTATAGAGTGAGATTTTAGGTATTTAAGGGTTCACATCATCTTTGTCTATCTTTGTTTCGTAGGTTGGTGTGGACGATGACATTGACAAGGCCTCACTGATTCACACAATTTTCATCTGTCTTTGTCTTGTAGGTTGGTGTGGACAATGATATTGACAAAGCCTCATGGTTTTGTCCTACAAAAGGCACTTCATAGGTTGAAGATAGTGTAAATCCTTAAATACTCAATCTTACTTTAATTCACAACCGATGTGGGATTCATGATTCCCTTTTAGGATCATGACATCCTTTTTTGATGTGGTGCTAAAACCATGACATCATTCCCAAGCTTGGTATCGTTAATACCTAGAACCATTTTGATACTAACTGTCATGGTCCATACTAACCTATAATGTATTGTCCGTTTTAGCTCATTGGGTTCACAATTTTATCTCACAAGAAGTGTCTCACAAGTTAAAAATGGCGTGAATTTTTAAATACTTGGTCTCACTCTAATATATAACTGATGTGAGATTCATAACTCTTCTTTGGGACTATGACATCCTTTCTTGATGTGAGATTAATGGCTTCTCACTGAGACCATGACATCCTTCTAGATGTGAGATTAATGGCTCTCTACTACGACTGAAACAATCAACCACCTTTCTGCCTTTTCTTTCACCTCTCTCATTGCCTGGTTTTTTTTTCTATCAAAACTTAGATCTTTTACCTTCCATTCGTTTCATACCGAATCAACATCATTATTTTATGTTTTATAGAAGTACGACAAGTATGAAAGTAGAGTAAGTGATTTATAGTTTTGTAACAACAAAAGCTTAATGTTCTGATATGCATTGAATTAGTTTTAATACATAGCAGAACTTAACTAGCAAGTTCAGTTCATAAGCTAGGCACAAGAATACATGCTAATTATTACACAAGTCATTCACAAGATGCATAGCTATCATAATATGATAGGAATCTAGCTGTCTTAATACAAAATAAGCACATATAGACCTATGGTCAATAGCTTGCACTGATATGGTTTTCAATGCAAGTTCTACCTTAACACTCTTCCTTAGGACTTGCTTTGCAAACCCCTAGCATCAATCTAAGGTCTTCAAACCTCTCCTTTGGTAGTGCCTTGGTGAAAAGGTCTGCTACTTGCTTATTTGAGTTGTAGTAGCTGAACTTCACTTCATTTAATCTTCTAGCTTCTCGGATGATATGAAACTTCACATTGATGTGCTTGGTTCTACCATGGTTTATAGGGTTCTTCGCAATGGCAATTGCTGATTAGCTGTCCAAGAATAGTTCAGTAGCTTTCTTTTGTTCAAACTTCAAATCCAAACACAACTTTCTAAGCCACACAGCTTAGTTCACAACAGTTGCAACAACAATATATTGTGCTTCAGCTGTTGACTGAGCCACTACCTCTTGTTTTTTTTTGAATTCCAGCTGAAAGTTGCTCCTCCTAAATAAAAAACATATCTTGATGTGCTTTTAAAATCTTTTGGATCTCCAACAAAATCACTGTCAATGTATCCTAACAATTTGAGCTCATTTAAGCATTTAAAGTATATGCCAAGGTCAAGAGTGCCTTGTAGACACCTCAAAATCCTCTTAGCAGTTGAGAGATGCTGAATAGAAGGATTTTGTATAAATCTTGAGAGATAACTCATTGAAAACATGATGTCAGGCCTTGATCCACATGCATGAAGTAAACTACCAATTAAGCTCTTGTAGACAAAAAGATCAGTGAGTTTGGGAGAGTCAGCATCATTAAATTTGTCATTTACAGCCATTGTGGTTGCAATTGATTTGCATTTCTCCATGTTAAACTTTTCCAAGACTACAGCAATATAAGTTTTCTAACAAAGGAAAATACCTTGGTCACACTGATGAATCTGATATCTTAAGTAGTATCTCATTTTTCCCAAATCAGTTATATCAAACTCAGTCTTCATGGCTGCCTTGAACTGAGTTATCAGTTTGTTTCCAGAACCTGTGACAAGCAGATCATCAACATATAAAGAAATCATCAACATTACTTGATCCTGAACCTTTAAGACATAAAGTGTAGGTTCATTTTCACTCCTGCATAACTTTTTTTTCTCCAGATAACTGTCCATCCTACTGTACTAGGCCTTAGGGGCTTGTTTGAAACCATACAAGGCCTTATGTAACTTGTAGACCTTGTTGACTTTATCATTGAGTTTCAACCTTTCAGGAATTTCAACATAGATATCTTCCTACAGAACTTCATTCAAGAATGCTGATTTGATATCAGGGAGATGAACCTCTCAACTAAGACCACCAGTTATTGCAAGTAAAAGTTTAACTGTCTCAAATCTGGCCACTGGTGTAAATGTATAAGTAAAATCAATTCCTAGTCGTTGAACATAACCTTGTACAACCAGTCTGGCCTTGTGCTTGTTGATTGAGCCATCAATATTAAACTTGGTTCTAAAGATCCATTTAGTGCCAATGACATTCATAGAGTCTGTTCTATCAACCAAGGACCAAGTTTTGTTTTTGTCTATCACCCTTAGCTCCTTTTTCATGGTAGCTTGCCAATGAGCTAACTCTTTGGCTTTTGAATAACTTGTAGGATCTGTAATGGCCATATTGCATCTATCATAAATGCTTTCTAGAGTCTTGATGCCCCTGACAACAAATTCTTCATCATTAGGATTTTCAATAGGTTCTTGAACCAATTCTAGTAATATCCCTGGATTAAACAACTTGTCATTTGAAGCCTCAAATCATTTTTGACTTTCAGTCCCAGTAGGCTTGCTCATCAAATCTCATATCCTTTGCTACTTGACCTTTTTTGGAGCTTAAATTGAAAACCCTGTAACCTTTGGATTGTAAACTGTAGCTAAGAAAGAATCCTAGCTTAACTTTAAGTTCCAGCTTAGTTCTTTTGGCCTTTGGAACATACACATAACAAATGCATCCAAAGACCTTGAGATGGTGAACAGTAGGTTTCACATTATACCATGCTTCATAAGGTGTTAACTTCTCCAAGGCCCTTGTTGGCAAAATATTTTATGGATAAATAGCAATATTTACTGCCTCTGCCCAAAAATATTTAGGCATTGATTTTTAAACAATAAGCACTTAGCCATATTCAATATTGTTCTATTCTTTAATTCATAGACCCCATGCTGTTGAGGTGAATATGGAATAGTGAATTGATGCTTAATACCAGTGATAGATAGAAAGGCTTCAAACTCATCATAAGTGAACTCCCCTCCATTATCAGTTCTCAAACATTTCACCTTGCATCCTAATTTAAGCGCAACAGAAGCCTTGAATTTCTTGAATACAGAAAAAACATCAGATTTAAACTTAATGAAATAAATCCAAGTCATCCGAGTATAGTCATAAATAAACAACATAAAGTACTTGCTACCATTGAGTGATTCAACACTCATTGGGCCGCAAACATCAAAATGGATCAATTCAAGCTTCTCATAGGCTTTTTCAGTGCTTTTAAACGGAAATGGCAGCCTTGTTTGCTTTCTTAGTTGGCAAACTTCACAAATATTAGTATGTTCATATATAAGGGGCAATTCTATCACTAAATTATTAGATTTCAGCAACTTCATTGTAGAATAGTTGCAATGCCCAAATCTCCTATTCCATAACTTAGACAGATCATAATCATCCTTCTCAATAGCTTTTAGACTTATGTGATGCCAATCTAGAGGAAAACATCTATTTCTCATTTTAACAAACATCAAAACATTGCCTGAAGGCTCAATGATAGTGCACTCTTTGTTTTTAAATAGCAAGGTATAGTCATTGTCTACCATTTACCAACACTCAGTAAGTTTTGACATGCTTGAGGCACTAAAAGAACATTCGAGACATACCTGGTTCCATTTGATGTTGGTACAACAATTCTTCCTTTACCAATGGCATCCAAAAACTCTCCATTCCCAATTTCTACCCTTGCACATTGATTCTGATCAATTGTGGTAAAAAAGATGCATTTGGTGACATGTGACTTGAACAAGCACTTTCAATTAACCATGTTTGACTTGTCTTTCTCGTTTTGCCCTCTGATGCCATAAACAACTCATCTATTGTCTCAGCTTCCTTTGATACCTTAGCTTGCTGGTTTTGTTGAGCAGCTTTGTTTTTGCATACCTTTTTCCATATGACCAAGTTGATTACACTTTCTGTACCTAATGTATGGTCTAAACCAACAATATTTTTCAGCATGGTTAGTCTTTTTGCAGTAAGAGCACACTACATTTCTGGTTTTCTTACCCTATTGCCTCTGATTTGAAGTTGCTACTTTTACTTTGTTCCTTGTATCATCTTGAAACTTTGTTGCTATTATGCATGGCATTCTTGTCCTTAAACTTTGCTTGCAAAGCTGTCTTAGTATGCTTATCAAGCCTGATTTGTCTATTTATTTCAACTGATTGAAGAGCATTTACCAGCTTTTGCATTGTCATTAAGGTGAGATTTTTGGATTCCTCAAGAGCTGCAATCTTTGACTCAAATCTCTCAAGAATACTCACTAGCACCTTCTCCATAATTCTTGCATCTGAAATCTCAGCTCCCAAAAACCTAACTTGGTTGACTATCTTCATAAGCTTATCCACATAGTCTTTCACAGACTCATTCTCTTTCATCTTCGGCACTTCAAATTGCCTCATCAAATTCAGAACTTACATCTTCTTAGTTCTGTCTGACCCTTGAAACTCCTCCTTGAGCTTATCCCATACTTCCTTGGCTGTTTCACAAGCCATAGTTCTTGCAAATATAGGTTCTGTTACAGCAGCATGAATGTGGGATAATGCTTTGTACTTTTTGGCTACTTCTTCACTATGTTGTCTTATTTGGTTTATAGTGGGATTAGCTCTGAGCTCAGGGGTTTTTCCCTCATGTTCAACTTCCCAGAGGTCAAATGCTCTGAGAAAAGCTTTCATTTTGATAGTCCATGATGCATAACCCTCACTATTAAAGATTGGTGCAGAGAGACTTACTGTACTACCACTTAATGCCATACTTTTTTTGAAGAAGTTTGTTTATGTGCTGTGAAGGTTTTTTTGAGCTTGCTAACATGCCTCTAAGATCATTAGTGCTCTGATATCATGTTGTGTTTTATAGAAGTATGATAAGTATGAAAGCATAGCAAATGAAGTATAGTTTTGTAACAACAAAAGCTTAATGTTCTGATATGCATTGAATTAGTTTTAATACATAGCAGAACTTAACTAGCAAGTTCCGTTCATAAGCTAGGCACAAAATACATGCTAATTATTACGCAAGTCATCCACAAGATGCATAGCTATCATAATATGATAGGAATCTAGCTATCTTAATACAAAATAACCACATACGAACCTATGGTCAATAGCTTGCATTGATGTGGTTTTCAATGCAAGTCCTACTTCAACACATTATTGTCCCATCTATTTTCATTCTTGTCCTCAATAATATGAGAATGACTGCTTTTCTGTAGCATTTGCAAAACTTTCCTCATGCAAGGTCTTCTTGATGGTGAAGTTCTAGTACAATGGATTCCAACTTTAAAGACATTGCACACTTGATCTAAATAACAAGCTTCCTTGATCTCCTCATCTAATGCATCCACTATTGAGTTGTTATCTTGAAAGTAATGCTGAGCCCACTCTGCAAGCGATCTGTTCTTATCTCCATTGTGCGCTTCTCTTCCAGTTGTTAGCTCCAAAAGAATGACTCCAAAGCTATATACATCAATCTTCTCATCTATTCTTGTTGTTCGAGCATATTCTACAATTCAATTTAGATACACAATTGTTAAATTCAATCCACTACCCACCCCGAAAAAGTTTAATCATATCTAAATCAGCAAAGAAATATGTACATTCATGTAGAAGACAATTATTTAAATGTGGTTCAACATTCGTTTCTTACATCCATGAACACAAGGGAAAAGATTCAATATACTTGTTGAAATTAACAAGGAAATATAGAAATTCACACGAGACAATTATTTAATGTGATTTAGTATTCTTTTCTTAATCTATGAATAGAAAGGGAAAAATTCAATGTAGTTGTAGAAATTATACGCATCAAAACCGAAATCAAACGTTTGTATTAACCTATTTGAAACCACTTATTCCCATGTTCTCATACTCGGAATCCAAACCCTTCACACTTAAGAGCTCCCATTCTTAGTTTCATTATATGCCTTTTGGAGTTCAAATTATGAAATGAATGGACTGAGGTTTATAGGATAAAAAAGTGCTACCTTCCTTCGTATGCCCCAAAATTAAATGTACACTGAAGGAGAAATTTAACATGTTTTGACATTTTACTTTTGTTCACATGTATGAAAGTAGATAATTGGTTATAAAAATTATATACATACCCCTTGTCGCTTACCTACCAAAAATTATTATCAATCTGGATTCTTGTTTATTAGGCAAACTTATCTATGAAGAAACCTTTGCTACCACATAAATTTTTTCGGCCATTTGCTACCACTTAATTTCCTAATCGATGAAGTTCTATACTAATTGGAATTTTAGTCAAAATTATCAACTCATATGACTTCTATATCAAACCTTTGCTAGTGAATGGAAGAAAGAAGCATTTGTCTATGAATTTTGTACCATTAAGTACCTACCAGGAGCTATGTAGCCAACCGAGCCAGCCACGCCAGAAACAGTTATAGGTTCTTCTCCTCGCTTGATTGACATCTTAGCAAGACCAAAATCAGCAATTTTAGCATTGAACTCAGAATCTAATAAAATGTTGCTTGACTTCACATCTCGATGAATAATGGGTGCTGAACAATAATGGTGCATGTAGCAGAGTCCTTGGGCAGCCTGAATTGCAATTTGTAACCTCTTAGGCCAATCCAAGATAAAATTATGTGTTGAACAGGAAAGAGTTGTTGCCCGATGCTTATGGAGCCATAGGTCTAAGCTACGATTTTCCAAATACTCGTAGACTAGAACTTTTGAAGTGTCACTTGAAATGCAACATATCAATTTCACTATGTTCAAATGTCTAATTTTACCCAATATCTCGACTTCAGCCCGAAATTGCTTTTCAAGTAAAGGCCTCGACTTTCGGTCATTCTTAATGACTTTAGCAGCAACAACGTTGGCATGTTTGTTAACATTGTCAGAACAAGTCAACTCAACGCGATACACATTTCCCGATCCTCCACTTCCAATCTTGTTTCCTTCTATCAATCTTGACAAAATGTCTGATTCTGTAAAATTGAAGTTTTGGTAGAAGGTGAGCTTCAATTCTGGATCCGATACACGCTCTTTCTTCCAATAATACTTAATCACGAAGAATGAAAATGCCGAAATCAATACAAATATTCCTATCACAATACCGCAAATCCTAGTAGGATTTTGCGGGGCAATTATGCTAGATTTTTTAGGTGAACTGCAGTTCTCGAGGTTTATGTACTGAGAACTGGCACAGAGACCAGGATTGTGAAGGAAACTATTGGAATATGCAGCATTTTCAAACTGTTTTGGGATATTACCGATGAAAAGATTGGACGAAAGGTTGAGGGAAGTAAGCCTCAGAAGGCCAAGTTTAGGAGGAATTTGGCCGGAAAATTGGTTTTTGGACAAGTCTAACTCAAGAAGGCTTGGTAGGGCACAAATATCCTCTGGAATTTGGCCAGAAAGTTGATTTTGACCAAGGTTTAGAGCGACGAGTGACCTCCATGAGATTATAGGTGATGGAAGGAAGCCGTGGAGTTGGTTTTGATCAAGCAAAAGAGTAGTAAGAAAGGGAAGAGCTGTCAATGCTCTGGGAATTGTACTATTCAAGAGGTTATTACTAGCCTTAAAGACAACCAGGCTTTTCCATGAATTCACCTCAGCGGGAATTTGTCCAAAAAACTTGTTGTTACTAATCTCGAGTCGAGAAAGATTATGTGACACTTTTTTGGGAAGCTCACCTGTAAAAAGGTTATCGCTTATCATCAACATTGACAAGTTCAACGATGTCCATAGACCACTAGGAATGCTCCCAGTAAGACCATTGTTGCGAATGTTGACCATTATCAAGCTATTACAATTACCAAGTGATTTTGGCAATTCTCCAGCTAGATTGTTATCAAAGGCTACAAGTCCTAGCAGCTTCCCTCCGTGGCATAAATGTTCAGGCAACCTCCCTGTAAGCCTGTTAGAAGCAACCTCGAAATACTCGAGCATTGAATATCGACCGAAATCTGGAGGCAGAGTGCTCGATAGATTGTTGCTGAACAGTCTAACGTCTGTTAGTGTTGAGATTCGTCCAATGCTTTCTGGAATTTCACCTGACAGTTGATTAAAAAAGAGAACTAAACCTGTTACATTTTCTAGTTTCCCAATATCACTCGGGATTCTTCCAGTCAGGTTATTTTGAGAGAGATCGATCACCCTCAGATTCGAAGCTTTAATTACTTGAGGAATCTCTCCAGATAATTTGTTGTCGAAAAGATATACTCCCTCCAAGTTCTTTAGCAAGAACAAAGCACTTGGGATGTTTCCCGTTAGTTTATTGATAGATAAATCCAGCACCTCGAGAGCTGTCATATCTCCAATCATATCGGGGATTTCACCAACTAAACTTGCTTTTGTCATCCATAATGTCTTCAGCTTCTTCAATTGTTTGAAAGTGGGAGGTAACTTGGATGGCTGGAATTTCGTATTATATGCCAATCCCAAAAATTCAAGTTTAGACAAGTTACCAATTTCTGGCGGGAAAGAACCATTGAACTGGTTGGAACAGAGCTGAAGACTCCTTAGGTCCTGTAACCGTCCAATGGCCACCGGAATTTGACCAGAAAAATTATTACCCATAAGGTTCAAGTTCTGGAGCTGACCTAAGCTGTCAATGTCATCAGGGATTGTGCCATCAAAGTAGTTTTCAGAGAGATCCAGGTACTCAAGTTTGGAACAATTGTACAAAGTTTTTGGAAATTTACCTATGAGGTTGTTGTAGTGAAGATCAATGGATGTAAGGTTCTTAAGGTCACAAATGAAAGGTGGGATTATTTCATTGATGCCTTTGTTGGCAAGGGTTAACCCGGTAACTGAGTCGTTGAGGCAGGTGATTTCAGGCCAGCTACAATGTGAGGATGAGTTTGGTGATGGGGCCCAATGGTTGATGGATGGTGGGTTCTGCCAGTATGTCTTTATTTTAATTAAGAGAGCTTGTTCTGGTTCGTCATGCAGTTGAGGGCTTACGTGGGTAAGGAAGAGAGCAAGCAGGAGAAACTTGAAGTAGAAAGAAGGAAATGCAGGGGCGGATAATGTAAACATTTTGGTTGTGTGGGCAAGTTTGATTCTTTAGTTCTGCTCGTGGAAGGCACAAACCGGAATGCCCAAATATAAAAGGGGAATTACCTTGTCAAAGGGGGTGGAAGGTTATACAATTGGCGACAACCATAAATCTTCAACAACCAAAAGGGATTAGTGGGACTGGAGTCGTAATTGTGTTACTTTATTAGTCATATAAAAGGTGTTACATTATTAGTCAAATGAGCATATTGCGACAACCCACTGCTATCAGCCCATAACGAGAAAAGGTGCTACTAATTAACATATTGCAAAAATTGACTTGACTAGCTATTTGGTCAAGTTTGCCCATGGGTACTTAATATAACCTAATTAATATAATTTGGTGAAGAAAGAGGAAAATCTTTAGCTATTTTGTTTAAGTCCTGTTTTTGGTGCTCCATAATAAAGTATATACTGAATGAAAGATAATCTTTTGTGTCTTTATTTTACACAACATGATACCATAGTTTTGTTAAATTCTTAAGAGACCTTACTAGTGAAAGAACCCAAAACATTTTCTCAGCAAACCAACCGCAAGTTAGCTTGTCACCATGACTGACAAAAACAACCTAAATACAACTATCCCAAAAAGTAAGAAAAACAAAAGAGAAAATGTATTTATAGATCAATAAATAAAAAGCAAAAAACATTTGCAGTGACAAAACTTCAATTATCTTTACTTATAGATAGGTTGAATCAAATGATAAAAAAAAAATTTCAAAATTGAAACAAATTAATAGTGATGGGGCCAAGGTTATGGCAAGTGGTGGTAGTCATCATCTCTTAGTTTTTTAATTTTTTAATTTTTTATTACCATTTATATAAAATTTGAGATATATGAATCTATGAGTTTATATAATTACCAGTTAATTACCTTTAGTGTAAAATCTTAAGTTCGTCACCGGTGATCAAGTTAACCAAACTCATTAATGGAATTAACTTATTAAAGCATAATACTTAAAAAAGTTTCTAAACTATTAAAGAAAATTCAATTAAGTTTTTATTATTTTATTATGTTCAAGTTTTTATATTTTTATTTTGAATTAAATAAATTTTTATAATTAATAGTTGATTAATTTTTTTTGAAAGGTAAATAGTTGATTAATTATCATTAGTAAAAAATATTATTTATCATTTTATATCTATATGACATTAATATGACATTGATATTAGACATAATAAAAATATAAAAATTTATTTAATTTTTTTAAATAATTTAAAAGATTTTTAGATATTATATTACTTATTAACTGAATGTTGTGGTTAATTTAGTTTTAACTAAATTGAATTATGCTCACCTCTAGCTGAATGTGGATGTAGAATTATGAGAAACTATGTAAAAGTTGGCGGCGGCCTCTTGATAGTTTGGAAAGGCGTTGGACATGGTTACTCTAGTAGTCAAACTGCGACAGCATGATGCTACAACACACTGCCATCAGGCCATAGAGAGAAAAGGTCCCACTAATTAACATATTGCAAAAATTGACTTGACTAGCTATTTGGTCAAGTTTCCCATGGGTAATTAATATAACCTAATTAATATAATTTGGTGAAGAAAAAGGAAAATCTTTTGAAGAAAAGGGACAACAAATTCGCACAAATATATAAAATGATCGAGTAAGATGAAGTATAGTACCATTATGGACATAAACAACACTCGTAATCTCAAATTTGGGATATTTTTACGTTTTTAAATTCGATTATTAACGCCACATGTTTTGTGTCATAGTTTTGAGGAGAGCCGTAAATCTTACGTCGATTCATCAATCTCTTATTGATGTGAGATTTATGATATTTTACTTAACTCAATTGTGCTATGTTATTATTGTACTAGTTTTTTTTATTTTTACACAAAGGAGAGAGGTCATATCTTAGTCTAGTTTACTTTGACTTTACTATTTCTCATAAGAGTCTCATCTTTTAATATTATTTGTCACGAGCTCACTTTAACCCAAAAGACATATTTGTTAAGTAAAAAAAATCTTTATTTATAAACCCACAAATGCTTACGTTTCAAAATAAAAAAACATATCTATTAAGTTGAAGAAACTTTTACTTATAAACTAAATGCCCATCTTATCTCTCATTATTGTGGGATTCGTACTTTAGTTCTGGTTTATCTCAATGTTAACATCTTTCATGAAAGTCTCACGTAAGTGAAGATATGAGTCTGATTCTATGTTAATACTAGTTATCTAAAAAATATATATTTGTTAAGTGGAGAAATATTATAATTTATAAACCTACAAATACTTAAAAGATATGTCAATTAAGTAGAGAAAAACCATAGTTTATAAACCCATAAGTGTTATCGTTTTCAATTGAAAAGATATAAATGTTAGATGGAGAAAGATTTTTATTTATAAATCTAATACTTACTTTTTTTACTTAAAAAAAATCATACTTTGAGTCTACTTTAATCTTGATATTTTTTATGAGATTTTTCGTTAATAAAAAGTGGAGTCAATTTTAATTTTATTTATATTTATAAAATAAAAAAATTATTTATAAATCTAATACCTATTATATTTTTTACTGACGTGTGTTTGAAGGCAAATGCATACCTAAGAGAAAGGAAAACAACAGAAAAAGTACTGCCGTGAAGAAAACGCATACACGCACCGCGGAACAAAAACATCGTGCATGGCGCGTAATTAGTTCATTTTCAGGAACATATGTTTTTCCACTGCCAATCCACGGCTTGGTTTGTGTAATAAAAAGTTTTCAACAGGAAAAAAGAGCAAAATGAATATGAAACTTGACCATGAAAAAAGTTCATCAATACTTCTTTGCACTCTTTTCTTCCAATAAATTGGGAAAATAAAGATGACTTGATATTGACTGAATTTTTTATCTTTAATTTTTAAACAAAAGATGGAAGAGATCAGATGCTTTTTGCCTTTCATTTTTACGAAAGTAGCCCACATGTCATATTCTTAGTCAATATAAACGTAATTTTTTGACTACATAAAAGCAACGGAGATAATCCTTTGGTGTTTAGGCCTTTTTCTATTTTTTTTTTAAAGAATATTCTAAACAAACGTTTACACCACGCAGAACCAATACATCACTGATGGGCCAAAAGGGGTTAAAACCCTTTGATTTTAGAGGAGTGAATTGTTGGAATGGAACGTGGACTAAAAGAAGTCATCATGACCCCTAAAATGGGTTTGGAAATTTGGAAAAACTCTCTCACTCTCTGTACTCGATTTCTTTACAAATGCTATGATGTTGGTACATGACTTCTCAGTATATGCAGGGATACAGACCATTCCAACTATGCCTGGACGATAGTAATGTAATCGTACGCTTGATCAGGACTGTGCATCAAACGACAAAGACTGAGACAAAAATTACGCGCATGCTACGCTCACCGGTATGAATACTTCAATTCAAGAAGAGGAAATTCTTGAAATTTTTAAAACCTTATTCAATTTACAATTAATTGATTTTATATAATACATTGAAAATATTTTTAATTTAAATCATTCTAATATCTTTCTCATGCGTAAAGGAATGGACTTATCACAAATTAATATTCTCCTCATGTGTGAACAGGAGCGGAGTATGGCTTTTCAAAATTTTAAATTTTTTTATGAATTCTATTAGTGGTTCCTAAAAATAATTTTTTATTTAATAATTAATATAGATAAAGAACAACAAAATGATTTTACATGCTGGATTCAATTTTAATTTTTTTCAATTTATATTATTATTTTAATTTTAATTTGTTTATTTTTTATTTTAACTCTATTTATTCATATGTTCGAAATCTCTATACATTTTCTTTTATAAATTTTTACAAACCATCAACTATGTATTTTTTTTTCTTTTTTGTTATGTTACATGTGAGTTTTATCTTTTACTTGTCATATTTTTTTTTATTATGTGAATTTTATTTTAAATGATTTAAATTTTTAAAAATTGATAAATTATTATGTAAATTTTCAAATATAAGTTGCAGTGTTGCACTATTATTTAGAATTTCATTAATGTATCATTTTTTATTTAAAATAACCAATGCGTTCTGGCATGTATGTTACCAATTTTAAATAATAAGGATATACATACAAATTGACAAAATAAAATGATTGTAATACTTTGAATACAATTTTATTTATTGTATATATTTTTAATGACTCTCAAAATTATTTTTATTAAATAATTATTTTTATTCCTCAAACTGTTTGATGAAATTAATGTCATTATGGTCAGCATATTGCTTGTTGCGCCCAGTAAATAAATTTTAACTTAATATGTTAAGCATATCAAATTTTTTAAAAAATAAAAGTGAATCTATTAACCCAATCTCACTAAGTTTTAACATAAATCTAAACCTATCATAATATATTATATCTTAACAGTCCAACACAATAACTTATAATAACATATGATATCTTAATAGTTTAATCTAATAACTCAATATATTAATTAATAATTTTAAAAGTAAATAAAAAATAAGAGGGAAATTTCTTCAAAAAGCTACCGATTTCATATAGAACATACAAAGTAAAAAACAATTTATTTGAGTTTGAAAATTTATTTTCTCTTCTACTCTTACGCTCAAAGAGTGAGAAAGACTTTTTTCATAGGTTTCGTTCAATCATATACATATATATGACACCATTATTATTACTATTAATGTGCCATTTTTTATATGTTTAATATTTTGTGAATTTTATTTAATCTTTTAGATGAGTGATAATTGAATTATATATAATTTTTTTATTATTTAATATCTTATTTGATTTGCCTACACTTTAAAAATGATTTAGGTTGGCCTTTGTTTGTGAAGACAATAAAGAGATACAATAGAGAGAGGGACGTAAACCGTATCTCTAGAATTACATGAGCAAGAAGAGAAAGAATTCTTATTACAAGAATTACTATCTTTGCAATTATATCTAGTGTACAAGATAAGTAATTGACTTGTGTACAAGGATCTAAAATAAATTCATAATAAATAAAAGTGAGGAGTGCTATTCTTTTATATTTAATTAAATCTAACATAGGGTAAACTAAATTTATCTGGTGTTAAAATTCCTCATAACTTCCCCTGAGCCTCGGAATAAACCTGAAGATTCTGATGCTCATGCCCAAAGATTAGCATCCAGTAGTCATGCCAAAAGAACAATTCTCCATCTCATATATGTTGTTTTGTAACCGGACAGCAAGCAACCATACGTTTTCAAATTTGTGAATCACAAAGTTTCAGCTGCATATACTGTGGAATCCAACCAGCACAATATTCCTTTTAACAAATAAAAAAATCATAATAGAAGAATCCTTGTAAAGATATCCATGGATGGATTGAGCTTAGTCTCATATTTAAATTTTAATCGATTCTTTGGATATGTGCTATGATTGTTGAATTTCATTAAATAGTATTTTATACAATTTATTTATATGTTCATTTCGATTATAAACATGTTTATGTTTAAAAAACTCAACAAAAGGAACATACGAAATTATGGACCAAACGCAGGACAGACACCCTTTGGAAGAATGCATTTTTTTTTTTTTTAGTCTTGGAGCTGGAATATTGAGAAAAGTCATGAACCCTCGTATGGTTCGGAAGAATTGATGGTAATTCTACCTTTTTAAAGAATATTGACTAATCATGACAATATGTCATCTTCTGCTGGAATAATGGGAAAGTCATGAACCCTCATATGGTTCGAAAGGTACAATTTTAATCTATTATTATTGGGGATGAGCTGGTTGATGGATCTATATATTTACTTCATTTTCACGTTTACCTATTCTTTCAAGAAGATTGGTAAATTCTCATGGTCTGGAAGAGAGAAATTAAAAGTGAAATGGACATTTTCATACTTATAGTAACGCAACGATCAAATTCCTTTGCCCCTTCTTTACGTTGTACGATGAAGACATCCGACTGAGGAAGGTGAAAAGACAACCTTTAATTAGGAGGAGCTGTCATTGTAGAAATACGAATGGCTAGAGGAATCAGGAATCAGCTATGGCGTAAATAGAAATAAATTGCTTTTGACTTTAATTTTATTGACTTGTAATGAAAATATTAAATTAAAAGTTTTTTTAAAAAATGTGTGGATATTTTATTTAAATAAAGAAAAATGAATTTAAGAATATTCTCAAATTTCATTAATAACTCATATAATATTATGCTAGAAAAAATCTCTTGCTTTGTTGCAAAAGCATTTTTTAATTTTTTTAATATATATATATATATGTGTGTGTGTGTGTGTGTGTATGGATAAGTTTTTATATTCAGTAATTTTCGTTTTAAAAATCTAAAAATGTCAAGAAGGGGATAAGGTTCCCTTACGGGTTCTGTCAAGGGATTTATGTTATTCACCCTTTTGCTTCTGCTCATCTCCACTACAAAAGAAAAAAAAAAAACATAGTCAATATTCTACAATTTTATGATAGAATCATTCAAGATAAGTCATTTTATCATCAAAGCTTCTTAATCTTTTGAACTATAAATAATTGAATCCATGATTTTATTTTAATATTTTGCAAACAAGTTGACAGATCTAATTACTTTATATTCATATCTACTTATATTCTCCAAAACCAAATTGATCTACTTAATAATAGTCAAAATTTTTCAAATTTTGACAAACAATTGAAAATGAAAGAGATAATTTCCTCTCTTTTTTTTTTTAAATCACATGTCATATATACTCTCAAATGTATGATTCATAGGACCATTATTTTTTCAAAAAATTAACTTGATAAAATGTGTAATCCTATACTTTTAAGTTTCTCGAGATTCTCTTGTCTATCCTATATGAGATCTAATTACTATGTCTACTTTTCCTAAAACGTTAAGCATGACATTTTTCTTACTCAATCTGACTGCACCCTTATTATCGTTAGCCTTATGGCCTTTTTTTTTGGGAAGTGTTTGGCATGAGTCAGGTTTAGGTTGATTTTGCTTTGATACCACTTTGTCATGGAGGTGTTGTTATCTTTTTCTCAAAAAGTTAACTTGATAAAGTTTGTAATGTCAATGACTTATTGTTGGCTCCTAGAGGAGAAACGAATCTAATATTAATTTGAGTCTAATTCAACCTTGATATCCCTCATGAGAGATCTTATATCAGTGAAGAGTTGGATGTACTTTGATATCACTTCTCACGACCACGTTTTTAACTTAAAAGACATATCTATTAGATGAAGAAAAACTTTACTTATAAACTCAAAATTTACTTCATTTCTTATTGACGTGAGATCTATAACATATGCATACGGTGACTATTCAAAAGCAATGATATGATCCTTACCCTTAAAAAGATGATATAGACACCTAATAATGTAGAGACTGCTCATCAATAATCATACAATAATTTAGCAAACATGTGGACCAAGGAAGAGAAAGGCATCCTTTGAAAGCAATTGCATTCTAGAATGTTTGGAAATATCATATGTAACGATCCAAGTTTAAGCATTGGCTCAGCAACTTTTTGAGTTTAAATCATGTGGCCTTCAATAGTGCAAGCTCAAGCACCTAATAATGTAAAGATAGCTCATCAATAATCATACAATAATTTAGCAAACATGTGGATTGAGGAAGTGAAAGGCATCCTTTGAAAGCAATTGCATTGTAGAATGTTTGAAAATATCATATGTAACAATCTAAGTCTAAGCAGTAGTTTAATAACTTTTCGAGCCCAAACCACGTGACCTTAAAAAAAAAAAGCTCAAAATATGGGATATCACAATCCCACATATTCAAATCATCCACAAGACCAAGATGTTACAAAAGCAATGTGAAAACTCACATCAAATTGGCGCAGACTCTGATACTATTTGTAACAATCTAAATCCAAGGACCAGTCCAACAACTTTTTGAACTTAAAACACATGACCCTTAAAAGCAAAAGCTCAAATTGTTAGTAGTAATGGTAATAGACTTAAATTATTATATAAGTTTTAACAATAATATTCATTCAAATGTGAGATGTGGGGTATTACAATTCAACCTATTTAAATCCTTAATACATTCATATTAAATGTGCGATGTGGAGTATCACATCATATGAACCCTTGAATGGTTTTGAAAAAACAGAAGATCACTCTCTATACAAATACTTAAAAGTTAAGTTAATGTTGGCATAATCTTGACCTAAAATAATGTTCTTATTAAGTGATAGATCTTTTCAACAGTTGACGAAATGGATGTAGTTTATGATGGATGGACATGGAACACTCAAATTATGCCGAGAAGAAGGTAGTGCTGTTACTCATGGCTTTTATCCGGTATGTGCACATTAAAAAAAACAAAGGCCAGAGACAAAAATTACTTTATGTGCATTCGACCCTTATGATCATCCCAATTTCAGATGAGGAAACAATTGCAACTAAGATCTGAGGTGTTAAATATTAATCAGAGTGAAAATTATTACAAATATATATATATATATGCTTTGTTGATGGCACTAAAAATCCAGTATTCTTGCTTGAACTTCCCCAGATCTTCGTTAAGGCTTGGCAATTGATTTATAATCAGAGACAGAGTGATGGAATTCGTTAGAAATTAATTAGCCGATTGTGGACATCTTTCTTTTTCTCCATCCACTTTTCCTTCTCCTTTTAAAATCAAACTTTCATCAAACCCATAAATGCATTAGGCTCAAATCCGGGATTTCCTCTTATTAATGATAGATTTACAACAAAGAGTCATCTCCCCAAATTACATACATAGTAGAGCAGAAGGATGGTGCAGCGATATTGACAGGGAATGTGCACCTAGTTACACACATAGGTTAAGTAATTAGTAAACTACATTAGTTTCCTCGAAAAAGAAAAGTAAACTACAAGCAGTCAAGCTTGTAGAAGTCCAGGTTATTTGTCGAGATGCAGCCTCACCAGCATACAAGTAGCGAACCCATTCTTCAACGAAATCCTGATCATCAAATTCATTGAAATGAAATGTCTCCTTGTGAGTAGTCTCTTTCCTTCACTATTTGGGAAGAGGAATGGCAAATAAGATCATACATATGTAACTAATAAGTCATGGTGTGTGTATATTGCGCATGTGTGAAGTAGTGCATACATGTGTGTCTGAAAGAAAGAGAGGGGGTGAGAAGGAATGAGATGGAAGGACTACATTAAGAAAAATCTCAAATTTTAAATTTCAAATTTAATAATATGGACCATGCATGCAAACAGAAATTTAGAGTAATTACACCCTATCTCTCTATGATTTTCATGTTTTTCATTTAACGCCTTACTTGACGGTTATCATCATATGGTTTTGATCTATGATCTTTATATTATTATTATTATTATTACTATTATAAGGGATTATAATACTAATCTTTCAATAAAATGTTTCATATTTTTTTTTCAATCTTTCTATAATGCAGTGCCTTTTAAATATGAAATTATCTAAAAGAGATTTAACACAGAAGCCACATGTAACCGGTCCTAAATTTCAAGACAAAATTTGCAATTGTTACCTTCAATTGAATTCATACTGAATCAACATTATCGCTAACCGATGTGCTTCCATCCTTCAAATTCCGAAGCATATGAACCGTAACGTACTCCTCTTCAGCATTCTTGTCCTGATGATTAGGAAGATGAGCGCTGTGGAGTAACATTTGCAAAACTGTTCTCATGCAGGGTCTTTCTGAAGGCAATGTTCTAGTACAATAGATTCCAAGTTTGAAGACATTGCACATTTGATTCAAGTGACAAGCTGCTCTAATACCTTCATCTAATGCATCTACTATTGAGTTGCCTCCTTGAAAGAAATCTTGAGCCCATTCTGCAAGTGATCTGTATTCATCTCCATAGTTTGCTTTTCTTCCCGTTGTTAGCTCCAAAAGGACGACTCCGAAGCTATAAACATCGATCTTCTCGTTTATTCTTTTTGTACGAGCGTATTCTAGAATTCAATTCAAAATAAATATAATGTTTAACAAGAAATCTAGCTAGTAGAAATGGATGACTGAAACATATATCCAAAAAAATTCTAACAAACTCACCTGGAGCTATGTAGCCGAAGGAGCCAGCTACCACAGAGATTGATGTAGGTTCTCCTTGTTTGATTAACATCTTAGCAAGACCAAAATCAGCAATTTTTGCATTGAATTCGGAATCTAATAGGATGTTGCTTGATTTCACGTCTCGATGAATAATGGGTGGAGAGCAACCATGGTGCATATAGCAGAGTCCTTGGGCCACCCCAATTGCGATCTGGAATCTCTTAGGCCAGTCCAAGGTGATAGCTGATGCTCGATGCTTGTCCAGCCATAGGTATAGGCTACCATTTTCCATGTATTCATAAACAAGAAGTTTTGAATACTCACTTGAAATGCAACACATCAGTTTCACTATGTTCAAATGCCTAATTCGACTCAATGTCATAACTTCAGCTCGAAATTCCTTTTCCAGTTCCTGCTCCAACCTTTTGTTATTGCAAATCCTTTTAACAGCAACAAAATCATCATTGCCAGTTGTACGAACACGGTATACTTCTCCTGACCCCCCTTCTCCGATCTTGTTTGTTTGATCTTTCAGTGCTGACAAAATTATTTCTACTGTGAAATTCAACGTTTGGAAAGCGGTGAGCTCCCACATGGAAGAAACTAATGCGCGATTTCTCTTCCAATAAAATTTAGTCATGAACAATAAAAATGAAAAACTCAGTGCAAGAACTGCTATCACAATACTTGAAATCCAAATAAGATTATGTGGATAACTTATGCTTGAGTTTTTCCGTGAACCACAAATGTCAAGGTTTACATTTGCAGTAGTTGCACAGAGACCGGGGTTGTTCAGGAAGCTGTTTGAATATGCAACATTTTCAAATTCTCTTGGAATGCTCCCAATGAGATGATTGGAAGAAAGGTTGAAGGGAGTAAACCTTAGACGACCAAGTTGAGGGGGAATTTGGCCAGAAAATTGGTTTTCTGACAAATCCAATCCCTTAAGGTTCGGTAGAAAACCAATGGCCTCTGGAATTTGTCCAGAAAGTTTATTTCTACTAAGGTTTAGAGTTTGGAGTGACTTCCATGAGATTATATCAGACGGAAGGAAGCCATGGAGTTGGTTTTGATCAATCAAAAGCATAGTAAGAGATGGAAGAGCTGTTAGTTCTCTTGGAATTGCACAATTAAAGAAGTTGTTACTGGCAATAAATACAGAAAGGTTGCTCCATAGATTCACTTCAACTGGAATTTTTCCAAAAAACCTGTTGTTACTGATCTCGAGTCGGACGAGACTGTGTGTAACTTTTCCAGGGAGCTCATCTGTGAACAAGTTGTCACTTATCCTCAACTCTGACAAATTCAACGATGTCCATAGACCACTAGGAATGTTCCCAGTAAGACTATTGTTGCGAATGTCAACCATAATTAAGCTATTACAATTACCAAGTGATTTTGGCAATTCTCCAGTAAGATTGTTATCAAAAGCTACAACTCCTTTTAACTTACCTCCATAGCATAAATGCTCAGGCAACCTCCCTGTAAGCCTGTTAGAAGCAACCTCAAAATACTCGAGCATGGAATATTGACCAAAATCTGGAGGCAGAGTGCCCGATAGATTGTTGCTGAACAGTCTAACGTCTGTTAGTGTCGAGATTCGTCCAATGCTTTCTGGAATTTCACCTGACAATTGATTGAAAAACAAAACTAAACCCAATAAGTTTTCTAGTTTTCCAATATCATCTGGAATCCTTCCAGTTAATTTGTTTGTTGAAAGATCAATCACAGACAGATTGGACGCTCTAATTACTTGAGGGATCTCTCCGGATAAGTTGTTCCTGAAAAGATATATCCTCTTCAAATTCTTTAACGAGAACAAAGCATTTGGGATTTTTCCCGTTAGTTCATTTTCAGATAAATCCAATACCTCGAGAGCTGTCATATCTCCAATCATATCAGGGATTTCACCAATTAAATTTGCTTTACGCGTCCATAATGTCTTCAGCTTCTTCAATTGTTTGAAGCTGGAAGGCAACTTGGATGGCAGCAAATTCGTAAGATACGCCAATCCCAAAAATTCAAGTTTAGACAAGTTGCCAATTTCTGGCGGGAAAGAACCATTGAACTGGTTGGAACAGAGCTGAAGACTCCTTAGCTCCTGTAACTGTCCAGTGGCTTCTGGAATTTGACCAGAAAAATTATTATTCATAAGGTTCAAGTTCTGGAGCTGACCTAGGCTGTCAATGTCATCAGGGATTGCGCCAACAAAGTAGTTTTGAGAGAGATCCAGGTACTCAAGTTTGGAACAGTTGTACAAAGTTTTTGGAAACTTACCTACGAAGTTGTTGTAGTTAAGATCAATGGATGTAAGTTTCCTAAGGTCACAAATGAAAGATGGGATTGTTACACCGATGGACTTGTTAGCAAGGTGTAACTCAGTGACTGAGTTGTTGATGCAGGTGATCTCAGGCCAGCTGCAATGGTAGGAAGAGTTTGATGACGGGACCCAGTGGCTGATGGAGGATGGATTTTGCCAGTATCGATTTAGCTCAATTAGGATAGCTTGTTCTTGAGCATCATGCAGTTGGGAGCTTGCATGACTAAGAAGGACAACAAAAAGGAGTGCAACGAAAGGAATTGGGAGGACTGTGGCTTTTGTTTTCGACATTTGGGACATGGGCAAGTTTGAAACATATATAGAGGGTTTGCTGCTGTGAGTGAAATGTGTATCAGAATCCCACAGAAGCTTGGAACTGTAAATTAACGACTTTATTTTCAAAGATTGAGTAAGTGAAGAAGGAAGTATCTAAAGGGCTGTGCTTTCTAAGCTTCAGCCCTTGAATATATATAACATGTTGGGAGTGTTAGGATGATTCGGGCACTTGATATCACAGTCCAACTACAATGGCGAGCTCCGTTTTTGAAATGATTGTTGCAGACGACCCCTGCCGCAACGAACACGATTATTATAAGTGGCTAGAATCATGGGACCGTTCAGTACAAAGCTTTGGTTCCATCCAATAGGTGGAACCGGGGCTGAGAATTGAGAAAGACGTCTATTGACTTATTATTTATCGTCAAATATATTTATTTATTTTTAAATAATAATTATATATAACATATAATATTTTTAATGTATAAAATTAATTGTTTATAAATGAAAGACAATTATACATGAAAATTGATTATCTATATAACATAATTAATATTTTAATTATACATAATTGAAATTTTTGTAATATTAATTTATAAATTATTCAATCCTATTAAAATTAAAAAAATTAATGAAAATAATCAATACAATTAGAATTTTTATATATAAATCGGAGAAATCTTATTAATGGTTTTAATAAAAATAATTTGATACAATTAAAATTTTTATATATTTACAAATTAAATAAATTTTTATTAATATAAATAATAAAAAAATATTTGACAATGATAATTTAAAAACATACTGAACAAATATGATCATTCTCCATAATCAAAAAATCTTTCAACATCTATACTTTTATATATATTATAAACAAATAAATAAATCTATAAAGTGGACTTACAGATTATCAATCTTCCAAAAGGTGTATCTTCTTTTTGGGGCATTGAACCTTTCAAAACGGTGCTTTCTAGTGGAGGAATCAAGAAGGGTGCTATTACTATACCCGATGAAAAAACAAAAGGGTTAGTACTAATTTGCTTTGGCCTCCCAAGATGCTGTTTCAAGTTTCCCATGGGCGACATAGTCTAATCTAATAATGCATATATAATTGAGTTATAATCATTTTATGTTAACAATAACAACTATTATGATTCTACATCCAAATTATGCTTTATCTTTTTCTTTCGGCTATTTCCCTTTAAGCCTGAAGATGCATCTTAAAAATGAGATGGGATCTATGGTGGGGAATATAATTAGTATTAGTGGTGGTATTTTGGGGTTAGGGGGTGGGGGTTGGGAAGGGGAGGAGAAAGAGAAGAAAGGGAAAAATGCAAATACCATTTTAAACAAAGACCAAAGAAAGTATTGCCGAAGGGTGACCTTTTGACACACTTTACTAAAACACACACTCAGACATCAGATTGATATTTTCCAGTATCATAACAACGAAGAAAAATTGACTCTTGACTGGGGACTGCAATCAAAGAACACTTTCATGGCCACTACCCAAAGTGGGATGGTCTTGCTACTATATTCAATCTGACCCTTAGCTCGTATCTAACTCATGGAACACTTTCTTGGCCACCAGTTGTAGTGGAATGGTCTTACTATGTTGTTTAATTTAGATCTTCACTGACAATGCAATCAAAGAACACTTGAATGGCTACCATTTTCATTAGAATGGTCCTGCTACAGACTAGGTCATTCCACTTTCTTTCATTTAATAAGATACTGGCAGACTGATTGGAATCCATTTACGTGGTTATCCTAATCAGATTTGCCTTATCAAGGGAGAAAGTTTTAGATGAGTAAACGTAAAAGATACTTAGATCAAGTATATATATTGCAACTTAAGGGGCAGTTGAATCCCTGGCAGTTAGAAAGTGTGTGTGAGTGTAGCATGCTGATTATTACATAGTTCCTTTTGAATAATGATTCTGTCCGAAGAAGAAGGCAATAAAACCAAAAACTGAAAGTGCTGGATGTCCAATTCTGAAGATTTTATTACCATGTGAAAATCTATGATAAACCAAGTAAGTTTTCTTGTCATGTAGCATTTATCTGCATGAGGAGGCATGCTCTCTTATTACAGAACCTCTTTATAAATCATAAACTCCCCAAACCCCTTCCTCCTTTTTCTCACTTTGAAACAAAATGGAGCCTGCCAAGGCACATAAAATGTCAATTGCACCCGAAAATGATTGTTCTTTGACATTCGCCATATTGTTCAAGTGGAAAACAGAAAAAAGAAATCAATGGGATAGATCATTCATCACTCGCATACTGCCTATACATTAAGTAGATGTAAAATTTCACAGAAATGGAGGATAAATAGTCTTAGAGGGAAAATTTGCTGGCTAGGTATCAAAGTCTTGCTTTCTTTCTCTGATAGTTGGGAATGGGGAATTTTAACTTTTTCTGACTAGTTGGTAAAAGGGGAATTTGAACTTGTGACCTTTAGAAAGTAAGGTATGGCTAGCATCAATATATCATCTTGGCCACAAATCAAGTCATATTTAAGATAAGGAAACAAAGAAAACTATCTATAGATATTATATCATAGCAGCTGAGTATAAAGAAGAAGACTACCTGAAGTTTGAACTACACCAGGGTAAGGCCTAAATGCAAAAGCAATTGCTTTTTCACAAGTGTGTTACAAGGCTTCAGCAGTATTGAATTATCTTTAACATCCAAGCCATTTACTTCCAATTTTACAATAACAGGCATCATCTGCGAACTCAAGCTCTGGCAACTTAATAAGGATGAGGAAAGAAAGTGCAGAAAAATTTTCCAGGGCCATTCAGTGCATTGATCGCAGCACAGCTTAGATGTAAAAGAGTAATTGTAGCAGCAAAAACACAAATATTGCAAATTAGCTAATCTCGAGTTATATGATAGAGAGACCGTAAATGCCATAGTATTACCAGAAATTTGACAAACATATAAGCATTTAACAGTTTACCAGGTTTAAGAATCAAGGGTCACGTTGTTGAGCCTCTCCAAAGACAAAATCAGAGCTTGGGTTCCCAAATTCCCTTCCCCGTGAGCCTTAAGCGACAAATAAAGCTGTTGAGCCAAAGCCAAACCAGGCAAAGCAAGTCCCATGTTTTGACACTCCTTTAAACAAATTCCCAAATCCTTAACAAAATGGTTCACGAAAAAACCCGGTTCGAAATCCCTCTTCAAAATCCTGCTCCCATACAAATCCAACGATTTTGAGCCAGCTGCCCCCGTCGATATCGCATCCAAAAACGACGCCACATTGAGTCCGGCTTTGTGGGCGTAAACGATTCCTTCTACTAATCCGACCATCGTCGACGCTATGGTGATTTGATTCGCTAATTTCGCGAATTGGCCTTTCCCGCTGGGCCCCATGTAATTAACCTTTCCCATGAGCGTAAAAAGGGGATTTAAGCGGCGGACGATGGCTTCGTCTCCACCCGCGAATATCGCGAGGGTTCCGTTCTTGGCGCCACGATCGCCCCCGGAAACGGGGGCGTCGATTGAGGAGCAATTCTTGGACAAGGCAGCCGCCGATATTTCGACGGCGAGGGAAGGTTCCGATGTCGTCATGTCAACAAGTACGCCGCCGGGGCGGAGGCCAGAGAGAGCTCCGTTGGTTGGATTGAGGAGCACTTGGCGGACGTCAGTAGGGTAGCCGACGACGGAGAAAACAACGTCGGATTGGGCAGCGAGGTCATGTGGGGTTTGGGCTAGGCGCGCGCCCATTTCGACGAGGGGTTGGGCCTTGGAGAGGGTTCGGTTGAAGACGGTGAGAGTGTATCCGGCGTTGATTAGATGAGCGCACATGGATCGACCCATTACGCCAGTCCCGATCCAACCCAAGCGGGTGTTGGATGGACTGATGGGCTCGGCAGCGGCGGATGTGGCCATGGAACGGCGGAGGAAGGTGAGATAAGAAGGAGAGGGAGTTTGACCCTGCAGATGGTAGCGAGAGAGTGTGCGGAGTAGATATGGTAGTGATCGCATTTTATTTTTATCTGAATTATCTTATAATGTATTTCTTATTGTGTGGGAAATGGTAATTTACTAAAATTTTGATTTGATTTTGATTCTGAGGATTTGTTTTTGTTTTTCTAGGACAATAAAGCCGGCCATATTTTGTCTTCTGCTATAAGTATTTAACTAGCTTTTGTCCCTCTTAGTACCGAATTACTTGGTTGACAAATCTTCAACTTTATCATCAAATTTAGAAATTTAAGCTACCAAAAACTCTGAAATTCAGCAACCTTTTACCCGCCATATAAGGGAACCTAGTAAACCACCAGCAGTCAGTCTTTGACTGTAATCAGGGTCACAGAAAGATGAACTTGATTTTATCACAGAACAACTTAAGAGTTCCAGTCCAGTAGGATGAAAAACTACTCATTCGTTCAATCCTCACTCTCGGAAAATCAAACAGACAATTTTTGTATCTAGCTGCTGACTAATCATTGCAACACAACTGCGGTTCCAACAAGTTCAGTAGTTAAGATAGGGAAACTCAAGCTTTTCGAAAAAAAAAAGATAAGGAAACTCAAAACACAGCACCGTTTAAGCAAAGGACACGCAAGGGGAAGAATATGCTGCAAAATACAACGGTTTCACTGGGAGGCATAATTATGAAGATAACACTACATAAAGAAAAAAAAAACATTTTTCTGTGAATATATCAAAGTATGAACAAATGTATTCAGCATAAAATTAGGACTTAAACTAGAGAGCAAGCAAACTCAAAGTCAAATAAAATTAATATGCAGCATAAATCTCACCTTGAACAGAGGAAAGAAAAGGAATACAACTATCTTTTACTCAACAAAAGGAACAGAGGGCATATTGAAGCCTCATAAGTTCAAAACGCAAGGGAGAAAATTATTAATGTAATAAGTTCAGCATTCAAAACATCAAATAAGTTAGGCTTTATAACTAAAAGACATCGTTGATATTTCACGGTTCCCTAAACACAGCCAGCCATACTAAAACCGAATATAAACAACATCTACCAAATATATAAGATTCAATTTATAAATCTGCCCATACATAATAAACCTCTTCAAGAACCATGTATTGACCTTTGATAGCAAGTCATGAAGTCATTAACAAAGAGAAACATGAAAAACAAGAAGACTGGGGAAGGATTATAACCAAATTCCATATTTCCACTTAGACAACAAAAATGAATGTCTCGTTTCCATGACCAAGCAGAAATGCCCCAGCATGATTACAAACGTATGAATGAATATGTTAACAATGAATGTCATCGTTTTCATGTCAAAGGGCAGAAAATGGATAACCATGAAAGGATTTTTACCACAAATCAATATGGTAACAAACAGAAATCAGAATTCGTACAGCAAAATACTACTACTAATTTATGAAACTATGAGTTAGACTCCTCAAACAATACAAAATCGCCAATTACTTATTATACAATGCTACAACTATACTTCAAAAATTCTTCAGAACAGAAAAAAAAAAAACAATGGAAAATAAAGGATCCTATCGTTTCCTATTTCAAAAATAAAAAACTTTAACCTCTTTAAATGCTCCATTTCACTTTAACTCAAAAGTCGGCACCGGCGGTGCATCAAAACTCTCCAAAATCTCCGTTTCGGACCCCCCGCTCCTAACCTCCTCTTTCTTCTTCCCCCCACCAAACCAGCCTCCAAACCAACCCGAATCCGAGGAAGATCCAACCTCATTCGCGGTCTGACCCGGTAAGCCCATTGGGAGCGCAACCCCAGGCCCAGGGTCTTCGATCATTACAGGCATATTTTCTTGGGCGGAGAGGACTTTGTTGAGCATGATCCCAGCTCCTTCAATAAGAGCCAATAGGACCCCACCGAAAAGAGCCGATCGGGCCGAGGCGCCAAGCCCTTGGCGCATCTGGAGGAAGCCACCGGTGGCGGCGCCGGCGAAGATGGAGTTCCAAGGGTCTTCCTTTTGGCGAGCGTAAACCATGGTGCAATCGAAGGCGGAGAAGAGACCACCCCAGACAGCGAAGCTTCCACCCACACGCGGTGCATTCATACGGACGGCTTGAGAGCCGCCGAGGAAGCGTGAACCAGTTGGCGAGTTGTAGACGCCTTTGAGGAAGTGGAAAGCCGATCCTCCCACCGCTCCCATCCCAAACGCGCCGCCAATGTCGTCGAGGATGCGATCGGGGCACGGTTCCCGAGAGGTTTCTGGAGTTCCCATTTTGCAACGATTTTTTTTTTCTTTTGCGTTTGATTTTTCTGTGGGCTGGTTGGTTGAGGGGGTTTTGAAGGGGTTTTAGCTTTGATGCTGGTAAAGGAAAGGAGACTTTTCGAGGTTTTTCTGTCTTGGAGAAAGGTCTTTCTTTGTGTAGTGTGGTCTGACGGAAAAGCCCCTCGATAAAAGTCAAAGAGTTGGGATATTTTCTATTTAGGATGATTCATAAAGGGTATTTTTGGCATTTAAGGATATTTCAGTCACTTCAGTAACAGAAAAAAGCGGGAGGTTTTGCAATGGCGGCGTCGTTTTATGCTTCAGGCTTCAGCAGCCAAAGAAACCTAAAAGGATAATTTGCTATCAGATATAGGGAAACAGAGCTGGAAAACCGCTAAAGAGAGCTTGTCTAAGTCTAACCATTGACGAGGAGTGGATAAGTTCATTGCTTTAGTTGTCCAAAGCCTCTGCACTTAATCCAGGTAAATTATTCTTTCACTGAATTGCCGTTTCAATTACCAAATTCATCTCCTATTTATAAAGTGAGCAGTAGTTCTTGCAATTCTATCTAAAAATGTGCACAATGTACTCTAACCTGACAAAAAGCCAAGCATTTCCCATTGTCATTAGGTTTTCTTCACAAACCAAATGTATCAAACAATTTCATAGCTCTTTACCGATTGGGTCTCGCCCAAAAACCTCACTAAACCCTTCATTAATGTATGGTGCCCATAAAGTTCTTCATTTTCACTCTAAGTATTTAGAAATTGGCTGTATTGAAAAACCCAGAAGTATTTTAGGTGGGTTTAGGATGAGGAGTGCTGTACAGTGTTGTTCTTCTGTATGGGCTAGAAGTCTATCCAGTTTACATTCGAAAAGAGTTCGTGAGGAGGGTGACTTAAGTAGAGCAGGAAAATCATTTCGTTGGTTAGCCTCAGAGAAAGTTAATGAAGCAAAAGGGTCACATAAAGTGGAGATTGGGAAGACTAATAATCGTTCTTCTTGGGAGGAATCGTTGGATAGATTGGCAAAAGAGAATAATCATTCATCTTTGGAGGAAATACCAAAGAGGTTGGAGAAGGTGACAGTAGGAAAAACTGGGCAGTCCTCGTGGGAGGAGTCAGGTGAATCTTTCTTTGGAAAAAAAGCTGCTCACACACTGGATATTAAAGAAAGTAGAAAGGTAAGTATGGTGAGGGATCATTGTAATAGTAGTCGTGTGGGAGGGGATGAAAGCAATGAAGAAAAAGGAGTAAGAGAAGAGGATGAGGTTGTTGATGATCCAAGATGGGATAAGATTAAGAGTAGGTTTAGAGGAATGGTGGACATAAAGCCTGGGTCTGAGAAACCAGAGTTTCGAAGATGGAATAAGCAGGAAAGTTGGGGTAGAAAAACATGGAAAGAGGCTACTGAATCGACTGTACCTAAGATGGTTGGTGAAGGGGTTTATGGGGTGGGTCCTGTTTTGGCTGCATTGTCAGCTGGAAGAAGGGAATTTTATGCTTTGTATGTCCAAGAAGGATTAGATTTGGGTAGTAATAATAGGAAAAAGAAGGATAAAAAAGGGTTTGAAAAAGTATTTAGGATGGCTGAAAAATTCGGGTTAAGTGTAAAGGAAGTGTCGAAGCATGATCTCAATATGGTTGTTGATAATCGCCCCCATCAGGGTTTAGTGCTAGATGCTTCGCCTCTAGAGATGGTGAAAATAAAGGAATTGGAGCCTGTCTCAATTGACGAAGAGAAAGGTTCTCTTTGGATAGCTTTAGATGAGGTTACTGATCCTCAGAATTTGGGGGCAATAATTAGGTCAGGTTACTTCTTTGGTGCCTCAGGGGTGGTTCTATGTGCAAAAAACTCAGCCCCATTAAGTGGTGTTGTGAGCAAGGCAAGTGCTGGCTCACTTGAATTAATGGAGCTTAGATATTGCAAGAATATGATGCAGTTCTTGGTTTCCTCAGCTGAAAATGGTTGGCGGGTTCTTGGGGGTTCTGTTTCTTCTAAAGCTGTTCCCCTGAATGAGGTTTTGCCAGGTGTACCAACTCTACTTGTTTTAGGCAGTGAAGGCACTGGCTTGAGGCCTTTAGTTGAGAGATCGTGCACCCAGTTAGTTAGGATCCCTGGAAACATTCCTGTGGATATAGCAGCCAGAGAGGTTGACGATATGGAAGCTACAGAAGTAGATTCTGGGTGTTCAGGCGAGGAGTTCCGGTCCTTTTTGGCTGTGGAGAGCTTGAATGTCAGTGTTGCAGCTGGTGTGCTTCTTCACCACTTAATTGGAAGCAGCCATGATATTAATTCTCTTTTAGATGACAAGTCAACCGATATGCATCAATGATCTTCCATGGCTGCTGCATTCAGCTAGGTGTCTATGTTGTGATCTTTTAATTCCTATTGCCAAAATTTTATCACCATTTGTAGGCTTTCTCTAGAAAGGGAAGTAGTTTGACACATCTGCCTTTTCTTCTTTTTGGAGGAAAGATATGCGATAAGAGACTTAATATTAGTTATATGCAGAAAGATGCACATAATTTAAAATTTATGGATTTGGAATCAAATTTTAACAATTTATTAGACTGTTCAAGCTTTTTGATGGTCATTCTTTCATTTCCAATATGCTGAAATTATTATACAATTTGTTATCATCATAAGAGAGTTGGTAGAATCTTTGTTTATGCAAGAAGGTTCACAATTTTGATTGATTCAACAATTTCTTTTAGTAGGTGGCAAGCCTAAGTATGCATAAAAATTAGAACCCCTTTATGAATGTAAGATGCTCGACTTTAGACTAAAAGTTTTTTAGTTGCAAGACTTGGGCTTTCTCTTAAAATACTTGCTTGACCAGAATTTTTTGCTTTGTCAAGTTGCAATTCCTCATACTAGTGTGTTGCAATGAAGCCGGCAATTTTTGCTGCCTCTTTTCTTTCTTGTTCACAAAAATGCAGGACAAGATAGCATTGTTATCATCTATAATGTAGAATGTGCGCTGATTTTTTAGCTTTACAGGCAGTGATGTCTAAGAAAATTGCAATCTTCAATACTATACTTTGGTGACACATATTTTTCAGGTTGTGCATAGTCTTTGATTTATAATTGCTTATTGTCTTCGGCTTGAAAGAGTTCATGGTATTAGTATTATAGTTGTGGGGATGCCAAATAAAATTACGGCAACTGCGACCATGGGTGCCTTTCTATTGGCTACATCTTCATTCTAGCAAATCCCTAGAGATGAAGCTGCTCTCTAAACGGCTACTTTGGTTTTTTCTTTTGCTTTTCTTTTATTTTTTTGTCTCAGGAAGCGAGCATGACAACTTGAATATATAAGTTTTGATGCAAACCTTCATCCTCCAATAAATTTGGAAAAAAAATTTTAATAATATTGGATGCTATCCTAAATTAGACAAGTGGAAATTACTCTTGCAAATCATTCATCCGATTCTTGTGGCGGGCTAGGGCAGAATTTTTTTATTCTTTAAGTATGGCATAATGGCAATGCGAATAACCCCTATCTTTGGCAGGAGCTGGAGTTTGAAACTAGGCCCTGCTTGTTCGACCCTGCTGCTGGGTTAAATCCCGCGGCTTCAAGCAGCAGGCGTGCCACAAAAATATAGAAAGCTTGCTAAGCAGAAAACAATGGAAGAGTACTGAAATTATAGTAAAGGACCATGATACAAGATTATGTAATCCAGTTCCATAAATGTTAAATTCGCTTGGTGGATCTGTGAAGCAGTTGTCATCATCTCCGTTTTCTGCTGCCCCGATATAATGGCATTTTCCCCCACATTAGCTTTTCATTCTCAGCCTGGAAAATGAAGAATAGATTCTTTGTTGTTTCATGTGCTTGTGTCACGGGGCGAT